CCCCCCAACCCCTACAAGAACTTCTACTTGACAAGTTTTCACTGCCCCTCAGAGTCAGAGTCCAGTGTGACAGTGACGAAGAGGAAGTGGCATCGCGCCGCTACGGAGGAGGTTGTGGCGACAACGAGCAATGAAACCCTCGGTAAGGGGGGGGCTTCTTAAAATTGGAGCACCTTCTAATGCCGCCACAGCGAAAGCGATTTTTACCCCAATCCAATTTCACGGCATATCGTTTTGCCCGGGTAGACTATAAATACAAAGCGCCTCCAGCGGGACACCAAAGGAAGAATACATAATCGTTTGAATAAAAATTAGACTGCGCAAACACACAACGTTGTCATGGAAAAACGCAGATGAGGCCAAAGGGAACGGGGGACGGAACGACGACAAACTTGAAAAAGAGAAAAATGGCCGTCTCGAAGCGGCAATCAACCGGCGCGTCCCTTGTCGCCCCCTTCCATGCTGTTTTGTTCCTCGCGCTGGCCCCCCCCCAAAAAGAGGATGACGTCAGGGGGGGGGGGGCAAAGGGGGCCCAGACGCATCGGAAGCGCAGTGCAAACAAGCCGGCGTTGACTCGGCGCCAGCCCGTTTGTTTAATAAAGGTCAACAAGAGTCGCTGAGCGATCATTATCTGGAAATCAAGCGGACCCCGCTTACTGGATTCACCACTTCACTTACGGAACACAAACAAACCGCCTTTGCGTGATGATCCTCCTCGATAGTATAAAACGCATGAGCAAAATCGGGGGGGGGTGGGGGGGGGTGTTGAATGGATGCATTTCATTGGATGGTGATGTTGTCCCATTTGTCATCATCTGGGCTGCTGTAACGGCGGTTGAACAATCTGTTCGCTTTACGGAACAAACAAGAGTCGGTTAGTCAACATTGTGGCACGTTGAGTTTGTGGACGGTGGACCTGCGCTACTAGAAATGTTATTCATCGCACAGCAAAGTCTAGCTGCCACGGGATTTCTTGAAACTGCGGCGGCGGCGGCAGTTCCCTTCCCAGCGGTTTGTCGGAACCAAGGCCTTTTCACGACTTTGTGGTCGGTATCATGAAGTTGAGGTTACAAAAGGCGTTGGTTGTTGGCAAAATGGAAAAACGACTGAAGTGAACTCTTTGAAATGCCAACGTTCGTTCGAGGGGTGGGTGGAAACGGTGTCGACGGGGGTACGTTGAGATGAGGTTGGACTGCATCAAGTCCATACATCAACGCAGATCAACCGCAGGATCTGCGATCGGAAGCGTGGGATTGGTCGCCAGTCTTAGCGGTCATCCTCAAAGATTCTCCAACGTCAACGAGGAATTGGATTCCGCTGCCAAAACATAGCGACCCGACCCAACTCGGGTCGTGGAGGAAAAGTTGTCCAGTTGTCATTGAGATTTTCTGGACAACGGGCCACAATGCTCAGGCACGCTTGAACTCCGGCTCGGTCAGCTTTCGGTGGGAATAAGCGACACGTGAGGTCTTGCGTTTGGATGGATGTGCACGTTTCAAGACGGTCATGCGCAGCGTTGCTGGGGGGTTCTGATGCACAAGGAAATTATTTTTTACAACGCGTCTCCATTTCCGGTTTACAAAGGAGTGGCAAACATTTTGTCCTTGACTGGCTCGGCATTAAGATGCATCGCGAGTGAGTGAGTGGGGATAATAAGGAGAGGGGGGGGGGGGGGGGGGCAGATCACCTCATAGCGCAAATGGGGGTTTTGCGCGACGACTATTCTTCATCCTACTTTGCAAACGAAAACAACGAGGGAGACAAGTTGCTCCGTCCAACACAATGCGACACTCCACCGACGTTTCTGATCAAATAAGAGCGGCGACCTCACACCTCCGAAAGTAGAAAAAAAACGAACGCGAAGACTTACGGGCGTCCACCGCTCCGGTATTTTGCTCCATTTCGGCGGCGGCGGCGGCGACGCCTTCGCTGCCCGTCGTCGTCGTCTCGTTCATCCAAGCACCGGCTCCTCGCTGCCCAGCGGTCCGCTCATCCCTTCAAGCAAGGCGTGTTGGAACTTCGGAGTCACTTGAACGCCACGTCGAGCGGGAAATGGACCTACGACGTCACGGAACACGGGATGGAAGTATTCAGAGACGCGGGAGAGTAGGGCATCATTATGATTATTGAAATAATTTTTTGTTTGGAGAGGGAGGGGGAGAAAACGGAGGAAAAGGGAAAGCCTTTCCGCGGCGGTCGGCTAGCTAGTCGCCGCAGCTGATGCTGAGCTCCCGCCGACTGACCCTCAGTCTGGGCTGGACCGTACCATTACAAAATGAGAGGGGTGTCACCTGAATGTTAAGCAAGTTTTATTTGATAATTTATGGATTAAAAAAAATACACTATACGCCATGAAATTCTAAAATGTATATTAAAAATTCTCTGGGTCATCCTTATGATTATTTCCCCCCCCCCACACACAAGAAAAAGTGGTTAACTGGGGTGATTTTAGGTGCCGTTTTCCCCCCCTTTGTGTTGGTTATTCCCATCGCCTGAAAAACAATGCTTTTGGGACTGCTCCCACTGAATGAGTGATGGGAATTCCGGCTCTTTTTAGAGAGCCGGTTCTTTTGGCTCGGCTCACTAAAAAGAGCCGGCTCTTTCGGCTCCCCAGTTTTTTTTTTGTTGCTTAAATTAGTTTACTCCCAAAAATAATGTAAAATTATTATTAAAAAACAGGAGGAAAAAAAAAAAGTCGGCTCCCATTAAAGCGGCTCCCTCTTAGGAGCCGGCCTCATGTCGTTCACTTCAAAGAGCCGGCTCGTTCGCGAACGACACATCACTACACTGAATGCAAACTTCCAAACGCCTTTCATTGCTCAGGCTTTAAGAGGAAAGTTTTTCCCAAGGATCCCCCTCATAATTTACTTCTACCACGCGAACCCCATAATTGCCACAGGAATACTTGAATTTTTGCTGGAGGAAAACAAGAAGTTGTCATGTTTACGAGAACAAAGACTCGCCTGATCTTGAATTCTCAAGCTGCAAAATGCCGCAGCTTTAACTTGCAACAACGCAGCAGACTCGTTCTCTGTTTCCATACGTGCACTTGTGTGTGTGTGTGTTCTCTGTTTCCATACGTGCACTTGTGTGTGTGTTTCCTGTCAGCCTGCTCTTTGTATTTTGCATGCTCCAGTAACAAGTTCGGCCGAGTGTCGCCACACAATTACAATGTGAATGCATTTTGTTACGTCACACTCACTCACCCGCGGTCTTCTTCTTTACCACCTGTGGATCTCTGGAGGCATCTGCAAAGGCGGTGGCGAAGGGGGGTGGGGCGGCAGTTTTTTTTTT